CCCTCCCTCTCCACCCTGGGGTGTCCCCCTGCCCCCCGCTCTCCTCAGTCCCCCCACAACCCCCTCTCCCCGTGTCCCTCCAGAAATCAAAGGCAGCCAAGAAGACCCAGAGCCCCCAGGCCCTGACAGAGGTGAGTGTGGGACCCCCGTGGGGTGGCAGGGCCAGGACCCCTGGGTGTCTCCCCCTCACCCGTATCTTCCTCCCCCAGAAGTGGAAGCCCCCTGTGGAGCGAGAGCCCAGCGACGCCCCCGGCACCAGGCACAGGGTGAGTGGGCCCCCCCAGATACCTCTGGGCCCCCCTAGACACCCCTGGGCCCCCACCTTGCCCCCCACTGACCCCCCTCCTCCCCCAGAAGCCGCTGACCAAGGGCAAGGAGAAGAAGAAGCCCGGCCGACCCCCCAAGCCCTCCGGGCCCCGGGTGAGTGACAGCGTCTGGCCCCGCCCCCTCGGACACGCCCATACCCCCTTGGCCCCGCCCCTTCGAGCCCTGGCCCTGCCCTCGGAGCAGCTATTAATGGAGCCGTAATGTTCCTAATAGTGCGGCCTTCATAAATTGGGACAGGTTTGGGGTTCAGGTGATGCAAAAGGGGGGGCTGCAGGTGCCGTAATACTCGTGATAGCTGTACCAGGAACTAATGTCAGGCTTCACCCCCTGGAATAGTGGGGTGCAGGTACCAGAATGATTTTATGAGCTGTTCCCAGGCTGAATGTTGGGGCTCGGTGCATTCAAACTCCATAGGGGTGTGGCTACTGTAATACCCCTAGTGCTGGGGCTGTCACATCCCAGGAGCATCTCCATGGCTGATAGTGCGATTGAGGTACCGTAACGCCCCTAATAGTGGGGCTGAGGCACCACAAGATGACTAATAGGGTGTTCGGTAACCATAACATCCTTAATAAGTGTTCCAGACACAACATCAGGATCCAAGGCACTGTATTAGTGGGGTGTAGATACTGTAATGACCCGCATTGTGGGGTTCAGATAGCCCAGTGCCCCTAATAGCTGCTCCTTCCTAATTAACCTGTGGCTTCAGCCTAACCTGCTGTTGTCGCTTTGCTGCCGTAATGCCCCTAATACTGCACCCCCCCCGCTACCGTAATGCTCCTAACAGCTGCTCCTGCACTGACAGCCCTGGGGGTGCCCTGGGGGGTTCCAGGGGTCCCGGGTGACCCCTGTCTCTCCCCAGCGGGGGGTGAGGAGCAGGGCCAGCCGGCGCTGTGGGGTGTGTGCGGCCTGTCGGCGCCCGGCCGACTGCGGCCGCTGCGACTTCTGCCGGGACAAGCCCAAGTTCGGGGGGCAGAACCTCAAGCGCCAGAAGTGCCGCTGGAGGCAGTGCCTGCGCTGTGCCATGGTGGGTGCCCGCCCCTGCTTCATCCCAGTGACTTCCCAGTGCTTCCCAGTAGCCCCCAGCCACAGCCCCTCCGCCCCCTTCCCAACAACCCACCACCTTTTGTCGGGGGAAACTGAGGCACGAGCAAGGCTGGGGTTGCCCCAATCCCCTCAGTGCTGGGTGGGACCAGTTCAGACCAGTATGGACTAGCTGGAGGGGAAAGGGGGGGGTTGGTTGGTACCCAGGTGGTGCCTGGACATCTGGGTCCTGTTTTGGGGGGGTCTCTTGAACGCCTGGGTCCTTTCTGCATTGCTTGGCTTTGGAGGGACTCACCTTGGGTCCCTTTGTAGGGGGGGAGGGGGGGTCCTTGGCCACCTGGGTCTCCCTGAAGGGGTTGTTCCCTTCCCCCCTCCCAATCCACATCCCCCCTTAAATTAGGGTGCAACACCCCCCCACCCGCACTGAGGTCTCTCTCCTGGCGCAGAGGCGGCTGCTGCCGGTGTGGGGGGGTCGCTGGGGGACCCCCTGGAGCGGCCGCCCCCTCCCCCCGTCCAGGCCCCGCCGCCGCTGGCCCCCCCGGCCCCCCCGCGCCGCTGCCCGGAGCCGCCGCCTGCCCCGCCCCCCCCACCAGGTAACAGGACCCCCCCTCCGTCA